TATATATATATATCCTGCTGGGTAATTTTTTTTATTTTTTACTCTTTTAGTGCAGAGCACAAAAGCTTCACTAGTATTATAGAAAACAGCACAAACAGTACTGGGGATAGGCTTTGTTTCAATCTCAAATATAATCTAGTCTATCAGTTCACAGCTAGTTGAATAGAAGGTTTAATTAAAAGTAGAACATACAGATTTAAAGGAAAGGAGAATTGAATTAGCTTTGGGCCATTTAAGCCAGATTTAAAAAAAAATACATTTGTCTTCAAAATTGCACAGATTGTACATTGTCAGAGGGGATGTTCATTTGCACCTGCTAGCATGAAACACAGTATTACAGTTTTCAAATATACATGACTTTAATATTTGGCATCAAAGCTCTGATCTTGGCTCTCCGACATCAGATTCAACTCAACAGGGCTTGGGGACAAATATCTTATTGAAAAAAAAAGTTAAATTAAGGGTTCATGCAGAGGAAGTGCAGTTTCAAGTTACCTTTTTTGTATCTTTGATTTAAAGTATTACTCACTAAAGAAAATAAATGCAGCACACTTGAGCATGACGCTGAGCCTTTGCATACCCAGAATATTTGTGTTTTACAAAGTTTCTGTGTGTGTAATAAAATATAGTGTGGTTAAGTTGTGCATGTGTAGTTTATGTGTCCTTCTTTATTTTGCAGCATGCGGTGCAGCGGCAGGTGGAGTGGAGGATGAGGGTGAGTCAGATGCTGGCTGGATTGAGGGCGCCGCCATACTCTTGTCCGTAGTGTGTGTAGTTCTAGTGACAGCCTTTAACGACTGGTCGAAAGAGAAGCAATTCCGAGGGCTCCAAAGCCGCATCGAGCAGGAGCAGAAATTCCAGGTGGTCCGTGGGAGCCAGGTCATACAGCTGCCTGTGGCTGATATAGTAGTAGGGGACATCGCACAGATCAAATATGGTAAGTGTGTGAATTGTGAATGTTCTGAAAAATTAATTGTCTTAAGCTTTATTGTGGGAAAAACATCAAACTCAAACATATTTAGATAAGTTAAGCTTAAGGATTGTCCGCTGACAACAATCCATTTTTTGTGTGAAATAATTTTCAGATTACCACCTTATTTCCTGAAAGGGATTCAAACTATGAAGCAATCAAATTTATTTAAGCAGTAGAGAGCCATAGAGAGTTATACAATTACAGTTCTGCCATGTATTAAAGTGACTCAGTGCACATAGTTGTGTGAATAACTTCACTGTGGGGAATCAGGTAAGAAATAATTTTTTTGTATTGTTACAGGTGATCTTCTTCCTGCCGATGGAGTGTTGATTCAGGGAAACGACCTAAAGATTGATGAGTCGTCACTGACTGGGGAGTCCGACCATGTGAAGAAATCTGCAGACAAGGACCCCATGCTGTTGTCTGGTATGTTGCTCGCCGAAAGCTCTCAGAGCATAGTTGTTACCAAGTCAAAGTGAAATATATGTTTTGCTTCAAGAAAAATGAACACTTTGAGGTTTGAGCATTTTTAAGGCAGTACATTTGTACATTTTGTCAGTCCATTATAGAAGCTGAGTACATAAAGCATGTTGATTTATAGCGTTTACCAGTCTTATGTCACAACATTCAAAGTAATTAAACTGTGTGTGGTTTGGGAATACTACTCACAAAGCCCTCACTCACTCAACACTTCTGCAACTCAGCATCTTCAAGCTGTATGAGCGAAGGCTCTGGCTGTGATTTGTGCTTTTGGACCAAATGGCAGTCCAGCTTACTTAGAGTTCTAGGAATCTCTGGTTTCCTGGAAATAGTATGCTCTGGGGATTCTATTGTTTTCCTGTGGGGCTTCAGTGCCTGTGTGGGCAATGGCAGATGGTGTGCAAATCAAAGGAACAGCCTTTTTGACTTGAACCCAAGTGGCACTTTTGTTGTACTAGGTTTAATAATAATAATAATAATAATAATAACAATAATAATGCATTTTATTTATAAAGTGCCTTTCAGGACACCCAAGGACACTGTACAATAGAAAAAAAAAGTTAAAAAAGGTTAGGTTGGGTTGTTTAGAACAATTTGAATAAACATGATGAGGTATATAAAAATATCTTACTGCAGATCACACATCTGTGTCTAGCTTGATGATTGATTTTTTTTTGTTATTTCCAGTCTTCTTTCAAAGTTAAAACTAGTGGTACAAAAGTAACTTTGGCTGATGCAAAAATAAATAAATAAAATATAAAAACTCAGGCATAGGAAGAGTTTTAGGAACAAATGGAGAGAGACTCAGCTTTCTCAAGTTCTGGCAAACTGTTTGACGTCCCAAAAGAAGAAAGCAGGATCCATCCCAGGCTGTATTTCCTAAGTGGGGAAACTGCTGACGTGGAGTGGGGACATCTTTAAACAGTGGAAGGAGCACTTCTGAGGATCTCCTCCATGTGAGAGTCATGTTTACTTCCAGGAAAGCAGTGTGTGAAGACTCGGGGGAAGGCAAGTTTGTTACTTTGGCAGTGGTTGCCAAGACTGTTAAAAAGCTCCCCAGTGGCAAGGAGTTAGAATTTGGTTAGATGCACTATTTAATACTTTAACACTGTGGGCATTGTGGGCTAGTCATGCTTAACATGTCCTCCTAGTGTTGCGTAAAACAAACTAGAACAGTGCCTGTGGAATGGTACACCAGGGTAGTGGTCCAAGTTTTTTTGAAAGGAGGAATTAAACATGTTACTATTTAAACATCTTAATGCTCTGCATTGCTGGGAAGTTTACACCAAGTTGCTGAAAATAAGGCTGATCAAGCCTATGCACATGTGAAGTTATGAGGTAGTAAAACAGCAGAACCTTTTTGAGGAGAAGTTAGAAGAATTTTGTTGCTCATTTCACGTTTTGTGAGCACAGAAATGACTTACGGCTCTGACTCCTGACAGATCCGGGGGAGGGTGCGGAATTTGAATTCAATGTGAAATGAAAGCCAGAGCTGTGTCTGTATTATCGTCAGAAGTTTAACTTATTTACATTGCTGGTTGGACTTCATCAGAAATGTTTCTTGTCACCGCTCTTGTTTGTGAAGCCAGAAACACGAGGCATAATTGAGAGGAAGAGGATGTCTGGTTTGGGAACTTCAGAGTTGCCTCCCCCTGCTTTTTGCAGGTGATGTGATTCTGATAGTGTCTTGAAATCATGGCCTGAAGTGTGCATCGAATCTGTTTGCAGCTAAATGTGAAGCTGGAGGAATAAAAGTCAACTCCTCCAAATATGAGGCCATGATTCTTGACTGGAAAAAAGGTGGACTGTTTGCTTTGAGCCTGGCATTAGTCTCTGTAGAATACTTGATGCATTTCAGTACCTTTTTCATAAGAAATGTTGGGATGAAACAAGAAACTCATTGAAAGATTAGTTTAGCAGAAGGTGCTGCATCAGTTGTGAAGCCAAAAAAAGAGAGATTTTACAGTTGAAGGTGATCAAACACTCAAATACTTTGAAGGATGCTTTTTTCATAATCCTTTTAATTATCCAGGCAGCAAAATATTAGTGAATCATTGCTGAAACATGGTTAGATTTTCAACTACAACTGATGTTTCAATGTTGATTTATAATTGATTAGATGTTGTTTTTCAATCATTAGAATTCAACCACGAAACAACATTGATTCAATAACATATTTTCAACATTGGTTATTTGGCAACTTTTTTGACCAAAATTCAAAATTGAATTAACATATTTTGCTATCTGGGTAGTGCTATATAACAATATTGTAGTTTATTTTATATACATAAGTCTTTTTAGGTGTTTTTGTCCTTAAAGTGACACAAAACACAAGCACAAGCTATTTTATTACTTTTTTATTTTAGAAAATAAGCATTATTTTGTGATAGGCTATGCAGAAGGTGCTGCAACAGCCTGAAATATATACATAGTTGCTTGTTTTTATCCAGGCCTTTACATTATTTGCATGTTTTATTCTGCAGCAGACACAATAATTTGTAGTTGTAGTTTTCTTCCAGAGAGAGAGAGAGAGAGAGAGAGAGAGAGAGAGAGAGAGAGAGAGAGAG